GTAAAATAACCACTGTTACTTGAAATTTAGCATAGCTTCTGCTACTTATATATGTTTATTTAGCCATTTAGCAAAGCTAACTTTTTGTTAGCTGATCACTGGTTTCTTTAGTAAAATGATGTACTTAAGATTTCTTGATTCTTGTCCAACAAAATAAACTGAAATGTAAAATAACCACTTATCCATCAATGTAATTTCTGTTAATGGCTTGTGTACCAAAATCTGTAACCTATCATGCTTTTGCTGGAGGATGTTATAAATGAGAATTTATACCAACTACCGCTGGCTTTGTTAACAGATTCTGGTGATGTGTGTTCACTTTCAGAGAAAGGTACTTACTTGTGTTCGAACTTTTTGTATGTGATTACATTTAATTAAACTGGGTTATGTGCAATGATGGGCATGGTTCTGCTTATCATCTAACAGTTATTGTGAAACTATTTTTTTTCTGTTTAGCAGATTAGCTTGTTTACTAACTTTAAAAACCATTAGCAGATCAATTCGCTTTTGCAAAATGAATTTTTGCAAACTTTAGGTCTGCAAACAGCTAACAAGCTAACATCAACAGGTTTGTGTCAGTCCCACCAGTCTGCAGCTGGAAGGAGATGAAAATGTGGGATGCAGACTGAGAGAAAATTGTTTTAGCAGTTAACAATTAGGCGTTAGCTTCCATTATCTTTTTTTTAACATTAGTAAAGCTTTATTTTTAGTTTGCAGATTCGATTTTTCACTAATTTTGAAAACRTTTTCACTAACTTTGATAGCAGCCCAGTTAACTTACAGTAAATTGGGTTTTGCCAACTTTAAATCTGCTAACAGCCAACTAACAAGTTAACATCAACAGGTTTGTGTTAGTCCTGCCAGTCTTTAGRTGGAAGGAGACAAATAAGTGTGACGTTGACTTAGGAACACTTGTCTTAGTCTTTAGCTTTTGTAAACACGTTTAGCTGTTTAGCAAAACCATATTTTAGTTGGTGTAATATGTGTTAAAGAAGCTAAGATTTTCTTAGCTGTGCCCACCCACCGGGGTTTATTAAATGTACTGAGGTAYTTCATTCAAATAAGGCATTGCTTGAATGCTACAGAAAAGGGAACACACATCACGATGTTCAGTTACAAAGAGAGATAACCCAGTCTCTAAATTTTACATTTACAAGATCCTGCAACAAAGGCATTGTAAGTTGCTCTCTCTGGACCTCGCAGGTTCYTGCAGCACAGATATTAAGGAAAATCGAGACCTGGACAACCCCTGCTCCAAAGGGAGAGTTGAAGCTAAAGCTGTACAACTCCCCAACAGGAGTGCCGGGTGTGGAAGGAAACGTCCCCTAGAAGAGGGCAARGGCCACACACATTCCAGGTACAGGCCTAAGAAACGCAAGAAAGTCCCTGGACCCATTCTGCCCAAGAATGCACTCATGCAGCTGAATGAGATCAAACCAGGGCTGCAGTACAAACTACTCTCCCAGACCGGACCGGTCCATGCACCRGTTTTTGAGATGACTGTGGAAGTCAACGGGCAGCTCTTCAACGGCTCGGGTCCTACCAAGAAGAAGGCTAAGCTGAACGCAGCAGAGAAGGCTCTGRGTTCCTTTGTTCAGTTCCCCAATGCCTCTGAAGCCCACATGGCCATGGGTCGCACTCTGTCTGTTCACACGGACTTCACTTCAGACCACGCAGACTTTSCGGACGTCCTCTTTAATGCCTTTGAGGGATCTGTGCCTTTAAATGACCCATTTTTCCTGGCCTCCAACAGTAAGAGGTCCTTTGCATCAATGGCAATAAGTTATCCATTGCTACCCTCCCCTATCCCCAACCTGATCAAGTCTCCCCTGACCCCGGCACCATCTAGTTCCACCTCCCCAACAATCAGCAGAAACCCTGTGATGATCCTCAATGAGATGCGACCAGGCCTCAAATATACGTTTGTGTCAGAGAGCGGGGAGAGCCATGCCAAAAACTTTGTCATGTCAGTGACGGTGGATGCCCAGGTCTTCCAGGGTTCCGGTCGGAACAAGAGACTTGCCAAGGCTCGGGCGGCCCAGGCTGCTCTGTCTGCTCTCTTTAACCTGCAGCTTGACCAGGCACCATCTCAACAGCCCATTCCCAGAGAAGGACTGCAGCTTCACCTGCCACAGGTATTATCTCTGCGCAGTGTTGTTTTTGGTTAATGCTGATTTCACCATTTTGCTTTCTGTAATAACTTTAAACTGAAAAAGTACAACGCAAACCACATCACGAAAGTCTTTCAGATAAAAGGATTTTTCTTTTATATGAAACTTATTGCAACAAAAGGTATTGGATCCAAAACTCAGATGGGAATATATCCTATGTTAAGTTTGGAAGTTTTGAATGTCCGTGTCTGGGTTTTTGCCATGTTTATTCCCACAAATAAAAAACTTGCATGTTAGGTTATTGGCAGTGGTGGGTATGGTTCCACTAATAAGCTCACAGCTAATAGTGGAAATAATTTTTCATATCATTTTACAATAATAACATTTACAATTTTGAACCAAATGTTTTACAAGTCTCTGTGTTTCTCATCTCAGTAATAAAATCTGTCTTCGCCAAGATATGCCAACTATATTTCGACTAAATATATTTAAAACCCCTGGGCAAACTGGTATACCTATGTGCCCCAGAACCACTAGGTATATAAAGCATCAGYATCTTTATGATGCTTTGGGCTCCCAGTACT